AAAATTAACCAACCTCTTGGTATAAATAAACGCTCTACTGTTCTTGAGCAGTTCCCATTCTGCGCTGAGAGGACTGCCACTGGTCCCAGCTTTTTGTCTCTTGTCTGTTTTTTCCTCATTCTTGCCGCCGGGGTATAGCAAGAACCCAACACCTCCCTACATCCCAGCACTTGGGAGGAGGAGGCAAGATAGCCTGAACTATCCTTGGAGATCCTGTCTAAGAAAAAGAAGAAAAGAAATGGCAAACCAATCCAAAGTATCCCAGGTCCTCCTTGCCTGAACAAAGAATTGTACAAGACAAGCCAAAAATGGTGCGGTTTATTTGAGAAGTGTAGGGTAAATGGGTATGGGAGAAACCAGCTCTGCAGAGCGAACTTAGGTGAATAAAGAGAAAAAGAGTTAAAGCAAAAATGAAAGTACACGCAGCACCTGGGAAATGAAGCATGGGTTACCGTGCAAACTCAGGCAGGACAGCCTTTCCCTGGTGGTCACTCTTTGGCCCAGAGTGACGATTCATTTCCCAGTCAGTTTTGCCATGACCTGTCTGCTATAACAGTGGCACACTCCTGTAACCCCAACATTGGGAGGCTGAGGCAGGAGGACAGCAAGTTTGGGCCCAGTATGGGCAATTTAGCAGCTTACCCAGACTGTCTCAATTAAAAAAAAATGGCTGAGAATGTAGCTTAGTGCCAAGGCCCTGGGGTTTACTGTCTAGTCACTCCCACACACTCTCTCTCTCTCTCTCACACACACACACACACAGAAAAACTGTCCTGGAAACAGTATCTTTCTTTGGTATATTGGGGATTGGACCCAGGATCAGCACACTGAGCTACATAGCCCTTTTTATTGCTCAGCAGGACTCAAACTCGGGATGCTCCTGTCTCACCCTTCCAGAGTGCTAGGATTACAGGTGCTTCACCACATGCAGCTCACTACAAACAGTTCTAACAAAGGAAAACACAACCCTCAGAATGGGAGAAAATACATGCAAATTATTAAGAGATTCATATTGAAATATGTAAATAAACTAATAAACACTAAAAAAAGGGCCAAGGAATAGACATTCTTCTGGAGATACAGTACAGGTGTGCAATAAGCACAGAAATACGCTCATGCCATTAGGGAAGTAAAATCAAAACTAGGAGATGCCTCTTCATGTCCACAAGGGCTGCTGTAATTGAAAAAAGAGTGCAGCTCTAACAGGTGCTGGGGAAGATGTGGAGAAAGCACAATTCCACACTGCTGGTGCGAGCAGAACTACTGCAAGCCTTTGGAAGTTCAGCAGTTCCTCAAAACGTCAGAGTTACCATATGGTCCAACAAGCCATCTTCCACTCCTGTATACAATCTTGAACAGGAATGTTTACTAGCAGACTTTATCTATATGTATATGTGTGTGTGTGTGTATGTGTGCTAGAAAGTAGAAATAACCCAAATGATCACTGGGTTATGAATGGATACAGAAAATGCACTATGGCCATGCAATGGACTATTACTGGGAAATAGAAAGAATGATGAGCCCTGGAAACACACTAGTTGAAAACATCCACTCACGACATCCACTGCAATGTCTACAACCAGCAGTTATACAGACAGAACAGTTTTCTTGCCTATACCTTGGGACGGGGTGTGGTTACCAGTAGGTGCAGGGAAGTTACAGGGGATGAAAATTTGCTTAAATTATGTGGTGATGGCTATGTGACCCTGTAAATATACTATGCTAAAAACCATTAACACTTTTTGGGGGGGGGCAGGTACCAGGAATCAAACTCCTGACCTTGTGCTTGCCAGGCAGGCACTGTGCTGCTGAGCTATAATCCTGGCCAACACTTCTAAAAAGATCATACAGCGATCTTTTTCTTTTTTGGGCACAGGGTCTCACTGTATTGCTGGGTGGGGCTCCCTGTGATGCTCCTGCTCCGGTCTCCTTCATGCTGGGTCTCAGTGCGCTCTGCAGCGCACCTCACGTCTAACTGTGCTGAGACTGCAGAAGAACAGTGAGTCTGATGGAGGAACACAAAAGCATTTTTCTTTAAAAGCTATTACCCTAAAGTGATGGTCTGTTTCTCTAATGTGGCTTTTTGTTTTTGGTACCAGGAATTGAACTCAGGACCTTGCACTTGCTAAGCAAGACACTGTGCCACTGAGTTATGTCCCCAGTTTTCAATAAAAAAGATAAATTAGATTTCAGTGAGATAAAACAGCAGGATTAAAATAATGGAGTCACCTGGCTTTTACTGAGAACTACAGACATGGTAGCCTTCTGTCACTGTAAAAAAGGATCCAAGGAGAGGTCAGCTGACAAAGATAAAGTTTACCTCGGCTCACAACTTTGCAGGTGTTGCTTTTAGGCCTGCATGAGACAGACAGTGATCACTGTGGGAAGAGGCCAGGAAGCAAAAAGACAGAAGGGGCAGAGGGTGGCAGTACCCTTCATTTACATTTTTGTCTTTTTGAGAGGGTCTCAGTATGCAGTTCAGGCTGGCCTTGAGCTCACTTTGTAGCCCAGGCTGGCCTTGAACTCGCAACAATCCTCCTGCCTCAGCCTCCTGAGTGCTGGGATTACAGGTGTGCGCCACCATGCCTGGCTCTTTATTTATAGTTTTTTTTGACACTCAGTCTTACTATGTAGTCCAGTGGCCTCCAACAGATGGTGTTCTTTCTGGCTCAGCCTCCTGAGTGCTGGGATTCCAGGCCCGCCGCCACGCCCGGCTTTCCAATACCCATCCCTTAGAGGCCCAGCCCCAGTGACCGCACTTCTCACCACCAGGCCCCGACACTTATGCTGCTATGGCTTCCTGCTGGCCCTGCAGGCTCAGGATCGAGTCTTTGGGAAGACCCTCGAAATCCCAATGACGGCATGCACCACACGGCCTCTGCAAAGGCGGCATGGACATGCCGCCTGGCTGTCTCTGCATGGGGCCACTGGTTTAAAGAGCATGTCAGCATATCTGCATTGCATGAATTTTTATTATGATTTATTTTTT